TATGGTATAAATAAGAAAATAATAGTTATAATCATGATGTACAACACTATGTAGTCAAAAGAGATTATACTGTATGACCAGGAGAATAATATATAACTACGATGTATACTATGATGTAAAAAAGGACTTGATATAACTAGTACACTGACGTCATAAAATTGGAACTGTGATGAATAATAATGAAAAATGTACAATAAAAATATTTTTTTAAAAGAGAACACTTTCTGATTTAACTAAGGTGTTAAATTCCAAAACTTCCAGCACCCATTCATCAAACATTTATTTTAAGGTAGCCATCTGGTGCCTTCTAGTGTCCAACTTTCCAAGTCATCTTATCTGTTACGAAGGATAAACAATATTTATCTTATCTGCTATAAAGGATAAACAACATTTTTTCCACAAGAAAGTAATCTTTTCAATCAGCTTCAAAGTCTTAAATCAAGTCAATTTGAGCTCTTAATCAATTTAAAATTTTCCAGAATCAATATGGTAATCACCCTTTTGCTGTATATTCTGGAAAAAAAAATCTTACAGAAATGTCAAGTTATATTTTTTTCCCCTTAATGGATCTTTAGCAAACAGTAAAAGGGAAAAAAAAGTAAACTCCAGAGTGATTCAAAAGATAAGGTTTGGTTGATCATTAAGTCCATAAAAGTCTATATTAATGCCTCTGAGTCTGGTGGAATCCAAGTTGTTTGCAAGTGACCTCAAGAGGGTTAGCTTCTGCCACCTATTCACACACAAAAAGCCAGTGTCCAGAATATGTATGGAAGATGTCGAGATTTCTCCTTGCTCTAGAGAATTTTTGACAATCTGAGTCCAGCATCTGTTTTTAACTGAAGTATACTCTGTTGTGAAAAGACCAGCTTGCAGTAATACTACAAATCTGCAGTTGATGCAAGGCTGGCAGAATTCATCAAGATAAAAATCTGAGACATGATGTAGTTAGAGCTGAGAAATACTTCCATTGATTGATTGATCGATCATATCTGGAGACTGCCATCTCACTCACAGAATGAGTTGATATTGATTAAGAGATAAACATATACTTAAATCTGTAGTTTGGCTGGAATATGACAACAGAACATTTTTAAAAGCGATATTTAGAGTGATAAACTAAATTGTCTGTTATAGAAACCTATTTATCAGAGTCTATAAAACAACAATATTTCATGGCATTTTAAGATACTAGCAATACATTTGTGACATTTTGAGGACTAGAACTAAAAGCATGAAATATATAAAATGGTTATCATAATTAATGGTTTAAATTAAATTAACAATAAATATTAAAATGCTGGTATTAGATCAAGATTTGAATCTAAGCCTTCAACCAATTGGGGGCCTACTATTAAACATGAAAACCTTCTGGATCTACTACATCTTTTTGTTATTCTCTGTGTAGTGCAAAAGGAAAGGAAAAGGGAATATAAAATTGATTTCATTTCTGGAAACAAATTTGACTGAGATCAGCAAAATTAATAAATAAAATTAACAGGTGAGGAATTAAAATAGAACTATTCAGAGAAAATGCCCACCTTAGTCAAATACTATCCACGATAAGAAATTAATATTGTCACTGAAATATGTAATGTTAAACAAAATAAACAAATATTGGGACAAACATGGTAGGAATGGTATCAGTGTTGCTACATAAAGAAAAGCCATTTTAACGTAAGTTAACCCTTAAATTCTATATACACTTGTTAAATATATCAATGTAAGATATTAGATTGGTCGCTTTTTATAGTTGGAAACAGTTCCAATTTCTATTGAGTTAGATTTTACCTTTAATTTATCAAAGCCTTTCTATGCACTGGAATTATACAAGAATGTATCAATGTGCAAGAGTCTTAGTGGATCAGATCAACAGCCCATAGAGTCCATCATCTTATGTCACCTAGTGGCCAACCCACTCCATTCAGAAAGGTTGCAAGCTTGTATACTGTATATGGATGACACTTCTCTTCTACTATTGTAGAGGCAGAGGAATGGCCTTGAGGAACAGGAGAAAAGCTACTACCATGCAGATGATCAAATAAAAAGCACCTGGGCCAAGAATGTAAGGTAAGTAACTGTTTCAGACAAATCCATTCTTAGTTCACATGAAGATGAAGGGAAGAAAAGGGAAGAAAGTGCATTCAAACCTGCAAGATTCTGTTACTAAAGCTTTATAATAAAAGTAGTAGTGATTTAGATGGTATTGGTTTTATAGTCTGGTCAACTTTGAAGGGCTGATAATTACTGCTATCTAGCAGCTAGTAAGGTATATTGCCTTATGGCCAAGGCAGTAAATATCACCAAGAACCAAGCCAGTGTTGTTCTTCCATGAGAACAGAATTACTATATGCATTTATGAATTCACATCTGGAAACAATAAATAAGCAATCCAGTAATACATTTCATAACATTTTCTAAAATAATACTAATATGAATTTTGCTTCGTATATGAATTCTCTCTGGCCAAGTTACACTATATTCTAAGATCGCACAGTATGTTGACTTTTAAAAAAAGAATTACAATATAAAAATTTTGGTTTTCTGTTCAAAATGCTATACAAATATTTATTTTTTTCTCCCTCAGGTGCTTAACCAAGTAAGGAGTTGAATCCAGATTATTTATTTCTACCCAGCAATAAAAAAACAAACATGGTAACTGAAAATTCTGTTATGTGACATATGCTATATTTTACAGACATAGGTTACAATTTTCAACTTCTTCTGTGATGCCTAAATGAAATAACTAATCCTGATTGCAAGGCGAGGTGATCTCTTTGTTGATCACGGGATAATGTTCACACCATTGTTGATACCATTGCAATAAATGTCAATTCAATGGCATTCTATCCACCAACAGGGAAATTGCATTTTTAAACAGAGGAAATGTTAAGCAGTGTGCACTATTGCTTGGTTTGCCTCATCTCTTCAGTTCCTGTGATACTGCTGTAGGTGTGTGATTGTGTAAAACAGGGGTCCCCAACCCCCGGGCCATGGTCCACTACCAGTCCTTGGCCTGTTCAGAACTGGGCGGTGTGAGCAGCTGGGTGGTAGACATGCAGCTTGACTTATGTGAGCGGCGGGCTGGCATGCATGCATGCAGTTCGACTTGCACAAGCGGCGGGTCGGTTGTCCTCTTCCCCACGGCTGGGTCCCCAACCCGTAAAACTTGGGGACTACTGGTATAAAATATAGCTATTGTGTCAGTCTAAGGAACTTGGAAGGTAAAAAAGGTAAGGCCACAGCAACATTGGCTAGCAACATTAGAATTTTATCCTTTATTATTTTTCTTCATTGGGGACAATTGGGGAAGGGAGTGGTTATATATACTGGCACTCCATTTTTCATTCCACTTTATGAATTCAAAGAAATGAGTTTATAAATATATATAAACAGAAAGTCCAAGCAGAAAGTTTTAAAGTTTGTGTGTGTTTTTGTGTGTGTGTGTATGTGTGTGTGTGAAGGGACAATTAAAAACTTTCTGCTTGGACTTACTGTGCTGCATTTCATATATCACAGCTACTAGGTATTAAATGTAACTGGCTCAGGAAACATTGTGCATTTTCATATATTGCAACAATAAAATGCCATGTAATTGACACTCATGCCCATACTAATAAAATAGGAAGTATTTATGCATATAAAATATAATAGAACCCTCTGTTTCACAAACATAAACCAGTGAGCACATACTAAAGTACCCATGTAATTAGCAACACTTTGCCAAATTAAAAAAAAAACTAAGCAAAATTGGATGGAAATTCCAGGAAATAGCTGAATAGAATGCTAACTTGGGAAGTTGAAAAAAATATTCAGGAAAAATGAAACCACTTCTGTTTTGCTGCCAATATAGATGAAAGAGTTACCGAAATGATTAGGAGTCAAGCTCTTAAACCTAACATACTATGAATTCCCTAACATCATTACTCTATTAATTAAAACTGAAAGAGTCAAGATGAACTCAACTCCTGGTGATTTTATGGACTGCCATCTATATTAGGAATTAATTAATTAGGAATTTTGGAAATCTGAAGTCTGTTATTATTAGTTTCAAAGTTCTAAAACATCATTTGTATGTCACCTAGAAATCTAATAATGTGCACCTTATATTGATATTCAGTGAGAGATTTCAGAATCAGTTGTATAGTATATTGCTGAAGTCAATTAATGCTAAACAGCGATTTTGTTGACCTCTTGGTATGATAACTGCTCTTCACTACCAATAGCATAAAACAAGCAAGGCAAAAGACTTTCTCTTATTTTGATTTGGTAAAGAAATAGGTGGGAAAAAAAAGATCAGCTTTGAGTAAAGGACTTCACCTTTTAACTCTTTCCAGCATGAGAAATTCTACTGTATTTCATAAGACGTCTTACACCTACCAGAGGACTTATTCTGAGAATTACTAAGATAATGCAATTATTTTTAGGTTTGTCCTGTTTGGAGAAACCTATGAAATTGTTTGCAGTTATGCTGAAGAAATACAGATGTGGCCATGGCTTCCGTAAACTAGAGCTTCATTTGTCAAGAAGCCACCCAACCACTCCTCTAGGAATCCTCACCGTGAAGTTTTAACCCTTGGGAGGAAGATGAATTCCCTATCCAAACGTGGAGAAGAAGAGGAAGAAGAAGAAAAAAGATGCTCTGTGTAGCGTCAGAGCCACTCACTTCACTGAGAGATGATGCTTTCCCGTGAAGTCAGCCCTGGGGCTGTAAACAGATCCGGGAAAAGAAGATTTGAAGGGTTTGACTTAAGATAGCGGGCTTGTTTCTCTAGGTTCGCGGTCTACAAGTGGTACTAGGCGGGGGGGGGGGGGGTCGATTTTGCAACTTGGCAGCGAGCGAGAAAAAAACGCAGCAACAGCCTTCGCCTACACTGTTGTTATTTCTCCTTAGCCAACCCCGATTTTGCATCCCTCGGAGCTGGCGAAAGCGAACAGGTGTCTGAGGCTCCGCCAGATTCTTGGCAGCCCCCTTCTGGCCAGGCGAACGGAGCGGTTCGTACCTGGAGGACTCTCCGCTGAAGCTCCCGCCGTCCAGCAGCCGCACCTTGCAGAAGAGGATCCCGTTGACGAAGGGCACCGAGGAGAGCTCGTCCAGTTCCAGCTCCACGCGGAATTTGAACTTCTTCTTCTTCATCATCATGAAAGCCATGCGAGGCAGGGGCGGGCAAAGAAAGGAGGCGCGCGGGAAAGCAGCCCTCGCCGCCAAGGGCGAAGGGGAGCGCCCCCCACCCCACCCCACCCCCTCACCCCGGGCGTCTTCTTGTCTCTGGTTAACCCCCCGCCGCTTCCTCCATTGCTACACAACCGTCGTTTCTTCGGCCCTTGTGACCAGGCAACGCAGGGGAGGAGCGGGAGGAAAAGCAGCAGGAGGCGGGTGGGCGAAGAGAGAAAGAGAGAGAGAGAGGGAAGAAAAACACGCCCGCCCGCCCGCGCGCTGTCTTCACCGAGGCAGGCGGCGCGGGCGCTGCTACGACATGCGTCTTGCTGCGCCCTCCCTCACGAGCGAAGGAGACGCCGGCGACAACCGCCCGGCCGCGTTCAAACCAGCCCGCCTCCCCTCTTTCTCTCTGTCTCTCCCCTCCCCCGCGCGGGCTCTCTGAAGGGGGGGAAGGACGCTGTCTCACAAGACCGGCTTCTTTCCTGCCCTCCTGCGGCGTCAGTCCGTTGAGTCACGAGGAGCCCGCCGAGTGACGGGAGAGCTCTCTCCCCCGCTTTCCCTTCTCGGGGTGGGCGCCCCTGCCGGCTCCAGCCGGCACCGAAGGTTCCCGGGGGTGAGAAGGTGACGCGGTCGGTCGGTGGGTCCGCCGCGCGCCAGGCAGAGAATCCCCGGGCGCTGATCCTTAGCAGTGTTTTCCCCCGTACCCCGACATCTGCAGTAAGACCCCCGTAAGGCGGCGGGGTTTTAGGCGTAAAGAAATGGCGAGGCTTTGGGAGACGGGCCCTCAACCAGGTGTTGCAATGGTGTTACTCATTTCCTGACCGAACGGTGACCTCACCGATTTAAGAAGTAGCCAGAGAAACAAGATTTCAATTTTTAGGCATCTCTCCAACCAAGCCACAAGGGCCCCTTGGCTGCGACCCTGCATTCTTTCTTCCCGGAATGATACAAATTCCCTTGCGTGTGTCGTGACCCCTTTCGTGTTTAGGATGGATGCTTTTCCATCCTTTATGTGGATGCTTTTCCTCCATTCGTTAATCATTTTTAATCATGATTAATCAGTTTTAATCATTGTTCACAATTCATCTACAATAATAATTCCGGGTTCCGTGTCCGGAGACAATGGTGCAACTTAGAATGACTATTCACTTAAAAATGCTAATTGAAATTCCATTTAGCAAACCTGAATATGAATATAAAAAAATAAACCCTCCTGTGAAATAATGTGTCCTTAATATATCATCCTCTTTGCAACTGACATGTATTTGTGCTACTGTATATGATCACAATTTGAAAAAGGGTTTTAGCACAATTTTATGACTCTCCAGCTCTAAAACCTTGGCAGTGGTTCTGAGTTGTTAATGCCTTAAGGACTTTCAGTCAAGGAGAAGTGCCTTAAAATAGCCGGATGTTTAATACCTTAAGCAAAATACACTCAGCAAAAATTAGGACACATATTATTCACTTTAAGGCACCTAAGTGGAGACAAATGGAAGAATGTTGTGTTTTGCACAGTTAAACGGGCTACTAATTACCTTTATAGAATTAGAATATTTCATTTTTTCTCTAAAACTCACAAGGCAGTATTTTTATTCCCACGCCCTGCCATTATATCTTTGGGCTAACCTTACAAAGTAGATAGCTGGGAGACAATGACTGCCAGTGAATGGATCTGAACATTGCGCAAGTTTGAACTAAAACATGAAGGAATGTGAAATTAGATCTCTCACATAATAGCTCTGCTTATTACAGTAATGCCAAATTTAGTGATTCCTGGTGTGCATATTTCCAAGCATGTAGTTATTGTATTAGCAATGCTTTGTGTTAAAAGATTTCTATTATTAGAAGCTTATCAATTGCCAGGTTGTACACAGATACAGATTAACAGTTGGAAAGGACTTTGTAGGTCATCTAGTCCAACCCCCTGCCCAAGCAGACCCTGCACCATTTTTGACATGGCAGTCCAGTCTCCTTGAAAGCTTCCAGTAATGAAGCTCCCACAACTTCTGAAGGCAAGCTGTTCCATTGGTTGCTTGCTCTGTCAGAAAAGTTCTCCTTGTTTCCAGGTTGAATCTCTGAGTGTGTGTGTGAGAGAGAGAGAGAGAGAGAGAGAAAGAGAGAGGGTTCAATGGATATTTCTTCTCCCTCATGCCTGTTACCAGTAATTTGCTCAGGAAGTTATAACAGAATAGGTTTGGATGCACACATATACACAAACACTCACACATTCTTTCTTATTGTTATGGAGCCTAGCTTAGCAAAATTATATATACATTTCTATACAGAGCCTCCTTCAGTTTCTTACTGTCTCCTTCCCTTATTCATACAGGTGCTTCTCAACAGATATTCCATTAGAAGTTTCATTACTTTCATGCCTCAGTCTTATTTTTAACCTAAAGTGGAGGATTGAAAAAAGGGGAAAAAAAACTTTTCCTTGAATTTCTGGATTGCAAAAACAACAAACAAAATAGTCCTAGAGTGAACCTCACCAAAAATATCACTTGAAGCTGTCATACTTTGATCGTGTCATGCAAGCTGACTCACTTGAAAAATCAATCATACTGGGAGTGGTCAGCAGAAAAAGGAGAAGAGGCCGCTCTAGTACCCATTGGCTGGACACTATAAAACAGGGGTCTGCAACTGCCCCTCCCCCGGTCTGTGGCCCGGTGTCTGGCCACAGCCTTTTTAGGACTAGACCCTGGAAGTGATGGAAGAGCATGTGCTTGCCTGCCTACCTGCATTTATGAAAGCGGCATGCGCACAAAACCATCCACTCTTCCCCCCGCACCACCCAAGCCACCATTGCTGTCTCCAGTTCACCAAGCTGAAAAGGTTGGGAACCGCAGTGGTGGGATTCAAAATTTTTTACTACCGCTTCTGTGGGCGTGGCTTGGTGGGCATAGCAGGAGAAGGATACTATAAAATCTCCATTCCCTCCCCATTCCTGGGGTTAGGTCACTTCAAAATCCCATTCCCTCCCCACCTCACTCACCTGCTTTCCAACTCTGTTCTCCTGTGCAGGGCAACAAAAGAAGACCCAGCTGATCAGCTGTGACTCGGGAGACAGAGAATAGATGGGGGCAGGGCCAGTCAGAGGTGGCATTTGCCAGTTCTTCGAACTACTCAAAATTTCCACAACCAGTTCTCTAAAACTGGTCAGAACCCGCTGAATACCTCTGGAACGCTGCTGTAAAAGATGACATTGGGAAAACCGTGGCAGACCTAAAGGAGGCAGAGAGGTATGGAGAAGGTTGGACACGAATGAATGGCTGATGATAACAAACTTCTTGGAATGCTAACACCTTGGTCAAGTTTTCCTTGCTACCTCTGGTCTCTCCTTTCCAGCATATGACAGAGGAAATAGAAACGGAAGCAAGCAAAGGCTGTACAGGCAAAGGCAGTCCTCAACTTATGATCACAGTTGACCCCAAAATTTAGGTTGCTAAGTGAGAAATTCGTTAAGTGAGTTTTGCTCCATTTAACAACTTTTCTTGCACATTTGTTAAGTGAATCAGGACAGTTCTTAAATTAGCATGGTTATTAAGCGAATCTAGCTTCCCCATTGACTTTGTTTGTCCCTGCAAACTGTCATAAATGTGAGTCAGTTGTCAAGCATCCAAATGTAAAGCACATGACCACAGGGATGCTGCAATGGTCATAAGTGTGAAATATGATCATAAATCACTTTCTTCAGTGCTGTCGTAACTTTGAACAGTCACTAAGCAAACTTGTAAGTCAAGAACTCACAGAATTCACAGAATTTATGACTTGTGACTTGTCACTTAGCAACTGTTTAAAATTACGTTGTATCCCAAAAGCTACATATGACCCAGTTCTGACAGCCAATTGCTCCCATGGTCATGTGATCACATTTTGGGCACTTGGCAACAGGCCTGCATTTACATCTGTTTGCAGCTGCTCAGGGTCTTATGACCATGATTTACAGAATTTACTGGGTTTTGCTGAAAACTGGTGTTTACTTCTGGTTTACTTCCGGTTCGCTATGGGGCAAAAATGGCCCATAACAAATAATGAGTTCAGTTAATGGCCACCATGTGTGTTTCATGACTACTGTGTTTGCTTAATGACCATGACATTCACTTAATAACTGTTGCAAAACAAGGTCATAAAAATCAGATCACTTGTGACCACCCACTTTACAAATGTCACAATTTATTGCTGTAATTGGCAGGCTCTAATACAGTCATAAGTTGAGGACTACCCTATAGTGCTAGTTGGGCCTACAGTATATGCCTACCAGCATCACTCTTTAATACCTTCCAAACTACATGCACTATCTGATGTTACCTTTGTGGATTTCTTTTGGTTTAACAAAAACTTAAACTTTCATCTTTAGTTGTACTACAGTCCACTATTTTATTTAGAAGTGTGTTTACTTTTTCAGGAAAAAAACAAAACAAAATACAAAAATCGTAGAGAGCATATTGGGTGGCTAGAATGGATCACAGAGAACAACTACTGTATATCAATCTGCCTTCAATGCTATTTTCCACAATCTCCACACAACATTTTTTTTTAAAGTAGTGAAAATATCTTAACATTCCAAAGCAAAAACAGTATAATTTAGAATGGAGGGTGGTAATTATGCATTTATTTTTAAATAAATTATAAATTTATTTATAAAGGTATTGTTTGCTCCCTTTTCATCCTAAATGGATTGTTGTCATGCAGTTATCAAATAATTGGAATTTAGAAAGATTATTGATCATTCATGTTTTAAAATACAACTTTTTAAGTATAACCCAATAAAATGTTTAGAATAATTTTATTTAGCGGTAGATAAGGAATTATTGAGTCTATCATCTCCCCCTCTATAACTGTCTGGTTTGGTTCTGCAACCCAACCGGACAGACACAGGCTTCAGAGAATAATTAGGACTGCAGAAAAAACAATTACTACCCACCTGCCTTCCAGCGAGGACCTGTATACTGCACGAGTCAAAAAGAGGGCTGTGAAAATATTTACAGACCCCTCACATCCCGGACATAAACTGTTTCAACTCCTTCGCTCAAAATGACGCCATAGAGACTACACACCAGAACAACTAGACACAAGAACAGTTTTTCCCCCGAAAGCCATCACTCCGCTAAATAAATAATTCTCTCAACACTGTTCAACTGTTTACGAAATCTGCACTCCTATTACTGTTAATCTTCTCATCACTCCTTATCACCCATCCCCTCCCACTTGTGATTGTAACTTTATCGCTTGTATCCTTACAATTTATATTGACTGTTTCCTAGTATGATTTAATTGCTTATTGTACCCTATGACAATCATTAAGTGTTGTACCTTATGATTCTTGATTCTTAACGAATGTATCTTTTTTTATGTATACTGAGAGCATTTACACCAAGACAAATTCCTT